TCGGAGCGTGGCTCCCCGCTAACCCCGCCCCCATGCATGGCCGGCGGCGGCGCGGACGCACCATAAGTGCAGCGCGCCGGAGACCGCCGAGCCGTGCCGCACCGGGCCGCCGCGCCGGGCCGCCGCGGGCCGGCCCGGCCGTCCCAACCTCGACTAGGCGTCAGCACCGCAGACCGTGCGGCGCTGCAGCGGGAGGCGCTCGGAGGGCCCTGGCCGCCCGACCCGGCCGGCACCGCCCCTGACCCGGCCCGGCACCGCGGCGGCGCAGCGGCGCTGCGGCGCGGCGGCGCGCGGGTCACCAGCTGGCCAATCGGCCGGCCGGTAATCGCGGCTCATTACAGGTGGCGCCGGCCGGCCGGATGCGGCGGCGCCTCGGCCGGCGGCGCCGAGCCAGAGCCGCCGGCAGAAGCCAGAGCCGCCGGCAGGACGTCCGGCCAGACGGCGTCGCCGCCGCCGGCCAGCTCTTTGTGCGGCGCCGCGGCTGGGCCGTGACGTCGCGGCTGGACTGCACTGCCGGAGGCCAGTCCGGACTGGTGGCGGCCGGACCGGGCCGGGCCGCTGCTGGCTGCATGCGACTGCCGCTGGATGGACGAGACTACTGGCGCTGGACCACCACGAGACTGCTGAACGGCTGGACCTCACAGTTAACTATGGACCAGCAGACGGACTACCAACGTACCATGAGTCAATCTGGCATAGCCGTGGTCCTGGCTAGACATGAAGATGTGCGCCTTACGTTTTTGGCCACAGAGTCAGCCAGGTACGGAATAAGATGAGCGCACATCGGCCAAATGGCATGGAAGGAAGGCTTGACACAAATTACATGGATACATGAAATACTTTAAGACTCGCACAACTTTAAACTGCAATCGCTTCGTCCTGCGTATCATTATAATGCCACTGCCAACTTAATTCCTCCTACACCATATCAACGATAATATTGTACTGAAAAAGAAAAATGGCAATTTCGGAAAATCACGCTGAAAACGTCTCACCATCTTTCGCCAACAAAATTCAGGTCGATCGCACATGCTGTGGAGAGTCATACTGGTGCAAACTGCCTCCACCATTGATAAAACTAAAGTTTATGTCTGTACGGTTCTAAAATTACTTCTTTTTAAGCGTAGGAAAATCCACATTTTTAAATATTTCGCATGGGCTTGAAGGCGGTTTTTAAAATGTCGAAGTCCGATAGAACACAATCCGGTCAACGAGCTCACGTGACCTGGCGATTCAGGGCGCGGTCCTGGGCGAATGCTCAACTGAGCTGCTCAGCTTCCGCCTTAAAAGGCGTCCAGGTGCGTTTAAGAAGACAACAATTTGCTTTTGTAAAACACAATGGCTAACTCGCATAAACACCGCGGTACTTACCGGCAGTTCATTCATAGTTGTCGTAGTAGGCAGAGACAACTTACGTCCATCAGGGTGGGGTTAGATGAATGGACGTGGGACAACGAGGGGCATTGTGAAGATGTAGGTGTCTCTGTTTTCGGTGGTCTGATAGATTTCTGATCACAGTGACCGGGGCGCGAATGGAGCAGATATTGTTGTTTGTTGTTGTTTATTGATGTTTTCAGGCGCGTCGACTGCAATGGTCATTTTGCGCCCAGAATGGAGCAAAGCACAAAATGAAGGGTGGAGAGGGCTAAGTCTCCTCAAAAAAGTTATCGGCCTCGGCCATGGTTGCCTCTGCGGCGATAGCAGTCACGGAAGACGGAGGGAAGGTTTGTCCATCTCGTCCAATGCCGATGCTGCTGGGGATTTTTTCCGTCTGCTCCCCCCTTTCCCCTCCCCCCCCCCCCCCGACCACCTCCACAAAACCGCGTGGATCCTGGTCCGAACCAATGTCGCGCACGTTCGGGGATGTCAAAGTGAAATGGCTGGACCACAAAACCTTGCACAAGGCCTGCCATCTTTTTGACCTGGCTACCTTACGACGACAAATGGAACGCTATTTCTGACAGCAAGAAATGCAGAAGCATGCAACATTTGTGAGTCGTTTCCGTCAGTTGGTCAGTACAGGTAAGTTTAGGGGATTTTGGCTTGACTATCGGCACCATTCAGCTCTTGAAACTGATGTTGGATGAGGTCATCGTACCTCACGTAACAATTGCGCGGTCTCACCTTTCCGTTATACCCCACAGCATTCTAGCAAGGCCCGTGCATGTGTTTAGCACCGATATCGAGCCCACAGGTGCACTCACCAACGGCCATGACAGCTGAGGGGTCAACAGGTCCTTCAAATATCACCTCCCACGCGCTCACCGCCACCCACACGGGTGATACCGTCAACTTCTCAGGACCAGGACACGTAGACATGTCTATCCAAAAAGTGCATGGGGAGCGGGTGCCCACTCGAGACCTCAGCCAAGCCGGCGGACTTGTGCTCGATTCCGTTCTGGCGGAATCGATTCTGTGTCCAACTCAAGCGCATGAGGTTGAGATCCGGGCTCCAATTCCAAGAAGTAGACAAATTTGATGACGCCGACGCCTCGGCAATCAGTTCAATTCCGAAGCCATTTCGATCGCGCACAGTGCGCTGACAGCAGTTTGCCAAATACTCTGCGCTATGGGCTCAATAAACACCTGCGAAAGGAACATATTCTCTTGGTAATATCATATTTTCTTGGTAATACCGTATTTTCCTGTTAATATACCCATATATGCTGTGTCCGTGGGTGAAACCATCACTGGAGCCGATTACGTCCGACCCCCGCAATTCTTGTTGTTGAAAACACATGATGTCGCACTGACGTAAGCATATACATATTAATGTAACATAAATCAATCCATATTGGGTATAAAATGACCTTCAATGCTTTTTTAATGTTACCGTCACCTGATTTCAATTTAAAGCTAAAAATACGGAAACCGTATACACGGTATAGATGTGACACCAAGTACCATCCTAAACACTCGCCTGGGCATGCGGAATCAACAGCTCCGAAGTCTCCGGCTCTTGGGAGGATTTAGCATTGAAGAGAAGGGAGATTTTCCAGCGAGGAATTCGAGCTGAGGATGGGATGAAAATGCACAAAAGTAGCACCGGATAAAAACAAGCAATTTTTGTCTACCCACCTACGGAGCGTCGCCACCAGCTTCTGGTGTAAGTGTTAAGGAAAAGAAGAGTTTCTTCTTCTCCGGCGGGCAGGCCTATTAGTTTTGAATTGAAATAAGTATGTGCACTGTTTTATTTAACTTTTGTGTGAGCTGGGTTTAACAATGTCGCCCCTGTGGTCTATCGGAAATATGCTGGGCTGATGATCCGGCGGCGCTGGGCACGAGTCCCCGAACGGGCGGATTGCTTGACCCGACGGAAATGGAAAGGTCAGATGGCGACTGGCCAGCAAGGGTCAGCCCAGGCGAGGTCAGCCGCGTCGCAGCATTGTGCGGCAAGTAAAACCCTCCGCATTCCTGTATGGTGAAAGGGTTGAAGCAAAATAATCCGTTGAACTGGACGGCATGACTTGGGTGGTGGGTTCAGGGTACATGCAACAAGCTGTACTTAGCAGGTACTCTGAACCCCAAAACCATGTATGCAGACTGTTCGGAGAAAATATACAAAAATGCACAATTCCTAGCAAAAACATTAAGACCCTAAAAAGGCAACAGAAAACCGGTAAATAATTGACGGCGGCTTTGTCATTGATGGTTGCTCTTCTGAGCGCGTCATTTCTGCAGCACTCTGACTTTCCGCCGTTTACTTACAAAAGCCGGGCGTGCATTGTCGGGCGATGACGGTGGCATTGGTTGAGAATATAGCTGTAAACTGTGTATAAATTCAGCTTAGCGTCACACAGTGAGGATGGTATTGTATCAGACTCCACGTCGGTGAGTAGATGCAGCAGATGTTAACTACGTACGGCTGGTTCGCTCTGTAAGGAGGAAATAATTGCTCTCCGCCGCTGCTGCACTGACCTCCGGGCCTCCATCACGCAGCAGTAGTGTTCTCACGTCCCGGACGAGTGGAGTTTTGTATAAAGCGTAGGGAGAGGGTTGATAAAAAATCGCTAAACCCGAGTAATTAGTACAAGCTATGTCGTCTCCTTGAATATGACCAAATTTCCTCCCAAAGTTGGAGAGAGGAACTAGAGTCCCATTCAGATGAATAGGAAACTACAGTCCTGGTCCCAAACCGAATAACTGCAGGTCTGTAAAAGTCTGGGTGGGTTCATATTGCCCCAGTATCTAACTTGGCTGAAATGCTGACTGAAGGATGCCAGAAAGATTCCAACTTGGCTGGTAGGTAGCTGCATTAATTACTAAGTGCCGGGTGTTTCTGTTATTATAGTGGCTTGCATCACGTTTCATTCATAACTGTGTCACGTGCCATGGGGAATTATGCAACGGGTGCACAACATTCCGAGCATTGGTTTCTATCAGCCTTAATTGAAATTCACACCTTTCGGAATAGCACTGTCAATATGAAGAAGTGTCCATCTGCTCCATAGCTTCAAAAATACCGTACATATGATCCTACACTTAGGAAGGAAGCACTTTCTTAGGGAGTTTTAAGCCTTTAGAATTACAAGGTTTCATTCAATCTTTAGCAGGCTTTGGTTATCGCTGAGACCAGCTAGTGCATGGAATTTGCTGTCAACCGCTGCTAAAGAATATCCTACAGTATCGACCACGTACGTAGTGAAAACTCACCTGGGCTTTTTTGTTCTCACTACGAGGCGCAATTTTTTACTCTTCCCCAACAGCCCATGCCAAATCTTAGATACTGCCAAATCTTAGAAACTACAATGTGTATTACAGTGTCAAAATGGCAATATTAAGGTTGAAGGCATGGCAGCAAAATACTTGTGACGCACCCCCTCCATCGAAATGACACCTGATCTTGGTACAGTCATCGGCACCCATTTGCCGTTCTCTCTTACAGCCATCCCAATCCTGATAACTGCATCCGCCTCAGCAGCCATGGCCGTCGCCCCTCCCGCCACAGAGGTCACATGAGGTCAATGCCGTGCCACTCGAGCCCGCCGGGCGCCACTTACCAACTTGGAGCACGCTCTCCACGCAGCCCGTCTCCAGCAAGCGCACCCCCTTGTGGAACGGCAGGCTCTGGTAGTCGCTGCTCGTCGACGGGACCTTCGATAGCGAAGAGTACATGAAGATGTCGTGCTCGTTGCGGGGGAACGACCAGAAGATGACGCGCCGCTGCACTGGCTCCGGAATGCGGTCGTATCGCTCCTCGATGCGCTGGAAGGGCACATTTTCGGCGACATTCCTGGCGCAGATGTCGAGCAGCGCGTCCGGCGAGCGCATGGCCGCTGCCGCGTACTGGGGCGTCCTCAGCAGCTTGGACATGTCGTGCGGCCGCGGCAGCATCTCCCTGGCCATCGCAGCACCGCGCGCCCGGCCACCGCCCCCGCCAGCCGCCGCCCGCCTGCGCGCGGCACCCTCCCTCCACTCGCCGCTCGACCGAATGCTAATAAACCCGCTCGGGGCCTTTAACGCCGCTCTGCGCATGCGCGCTGCGCCCGCTCCCAGCTGATTGGTGCGGCGCCCAATACCTCGGTAAATTGGAGCGGGAAGATAAAGTGCGTCGGCGGCGCGGGGAGCGAGCGGGAGGAGGTACTGCCCGGCTGAAGGCCCATGAACGAACTCAGCGCGCCGCCGACCCGTCCCGTTCGTAGCAGGGGCGCATCCAGGGGCGGGGGAGGGCAGGAAACAATGGTCGTAACACCGTCGCTTGCGCTGCACGCTGCCAGTCACTTGCGTGCTATCAAGGAGACAGAACTCTGAGGAAAATTAAAATTTTGATCACGTGCTTAAGTGCCAGTTTGATCATATCCTCCATGGAAGCCTTTTCGCGCAGCATGAAATGTGCTTGCTGAGCTCTCTGTGTGCTGCAGGCGCAGATCAAGGATCTCCCCATGGGGTGTGGATTCCTCTCGGATTCTTTCTGAGCGACCCCGGGGAGGCGCCATAATCCTATATATATATATATATATATATATATATATATATATATATATATATATATATATAGCACACGGAGGGCTCAGCAGGCACATTTCATGCTGCGCGAAAAAGCTTCCATGGAGGATATGATCAAACTGGCACTCAAGCACGTGGTCAAAATTTTAATTTTTTCAGAGAGGGGGTTCTTCGTCCTTGATAGCACGCAAGTGACTGACAGCATGCAGCTCAAGGGAAGGTGTATATATATATATATATATATATATATATATATATATATATATATAACGCAGGAACAGCTTGATGGCAAGGACAGCAGTCGCTGTCGTTTATATAACTCATTAACGTTTCGATACATGGTGTATCATTATCAGGACACAAGGGTGCGAATGTGCAATGAAAAAAGAACATTTAACAGACATCGCTAGATATGGCAATGATCATAGTTTATATACAGTTGATGCAATTAAACGCGACTTCTCCGCGCGCAAACAAAGCAGCCTGAAAAATACACAATCACACGATGAAAGATATTTTAGGCTGCATATAAAAAGCCATTTTGTAACTTGCAGAGGATGTGCAAACCCCATGGTGTTCAACGGCAGCTTATTTTTGTGGTGAATGTGAAGTGACTCTAAAATTCTAAGATCGATAGAATTGCTGCAGCGCCTTAATGCGGACAAATTTTCAAAGTTAAGGTAAGTGCCACAGGTGCTGAAATGAATGGTCTCGGATGGGCGAAGGTCCCGGGTTAGAAATGATGTTGTCTGTTCTTAAAATTCGTGCGTGACACCACCCCTAGAACCTGCTGAGTGCCAATGAGAGGTGCAAGTTACAAGAAAATATTTTATGTGCTGGACTGAGTGATTGATTTTTGACGTTCTTATATTCAATCCAGTGAGTTTAAATACACCCTAATATCCCAAAATAAAGCACAATTTTTCAAGGTCTTACAAATGCTCCAAATTTTAATAGGACTTTGAACATTTTTGAAGATCTTCCCAGATGGTGCGATAGATAGAGAGCTCCTTGGGTAACATCTCTGTTATCTGTGAAGACAGAAAATTCAGGGGAAACGGTCTCAGGAAATCAACAGTAATGATTGTTCTCCCTTCTCCCTAAAATCACTGATTTGTGTGTCCCTTTATGCCCCTTTTTGCTGTTTTCTACCAAACTGACGACATTATTACAAATTTGCGACAACACACAGAACACATACATCACACATCACCTTTGCGACAACTGACAGAACTGCAGTTTAAGTCTGTTTGCTTTCACCATACGTAACACTTAACCTGGTACTTCTTAAACTTAAGTCATCCCTTTACCGCATTCAGGGATCTTCCATCGCGACTGACTGGTTGACGGGGTGGATCTATGTATCCGAAGTCCGAGGCGGGGTGACGGGGTGGATCTATGTATCAAATCAGAGGCGGATCCAGAAATTCTCCAAGGGCTACTTCTGCCAGCGGAAGCCCCACATTCCACAGGGGCCCCCGAAACCTACTCCTTGGAATGAAAAATCTCGGTGGATTCGCCCCATTTAATATTGAGGGCCAAACTTTGACTTTGTTCTCCCCTGAGCGCCATAGACTCGCATGCAGGGGCGTAGCCAGTCGTGGTAATGGGGCGGACACCTAGAGGGCCTCCGGTGAAAAGTGACCCGACATAAAGGGAAGAGAAGAGAATAAAATATCAGCGTATAGATGTTTTTACGTAGCTGACAGGTTTCAAATTCCGTTGGCTGGAATTATATTCGCTTATATAAGTACAAAGATTGAAGCAAGGATGCAAGAAATGCGTGCTTATGACAATGGTAATCATGACAAACATGCTTATGACAATTCCGCTGGATGCCATTCCAATTGTTCGATCTCGCGAACTGCTCGATCCGAGATTAAACAGATCGTGCAAAATACGATGGACCCAACTGAGAGGTCTGCGTGAAAGGGAAGTGCTTAAATGCTGTCACCCTCGAGAGAAAATGCTGGCATACTCAAAAGACATCTGCTGGTGCCATGGTTTTTAAGAGACCATGATCAATCAGCATGGGCGTAGAGACGGGGAGGGCGTGCCCCCCCCCCCCACCCACACTTTTCAAGGGAGGAACAGCCCTGGTAATTCCCGGATTTTTTATATTTGATTTGTGCTTAGCTTACTTTCGTACTACCTTAGGCTTGCATATCCATTCAAGCTTGTTATGCTACCATAAACGGCAAAGGGAGATATTTAGGGGTACATTCTAGATTTCGCTGGTACTGCAGGCTTCAAGCGGTCGCCATAGGTAGCCTTGGTTATTCTGCATGCCTGTTGAGAGTTCCTCCGCACATGTTCATGGAGTTCAAGATGCATATATCATGGGAGTTTGGTAGAGGCGCTAGTCTGGCATGTCAGACAAGAACTAGGCTTTTTATAATGGCGATGTTCATGCAATTTTCGTCATATTAGCGCTATTACGCCATCAGGTTGAAAATTTCAGATGTTATTTGAAATGCTGCCAGTTCGTGGGCATTTTCTGCAGGCAGCATTGCTGCATTATTTGTCTGACAATTGCTCCGTGTTTAGGGATTTTTGTGACACTTTAGAAGAGCATCGGGTGTTTCAGGAAACCCTGACTGGATTAACCGGGTACAGACTCAGTATTGATCAATTCAAAAACCGATTCAGCATTTTTTGTTGTGCATTCGCCTTATATGCTATAATTAACTACGCTAGCTCTCCATGTGTTAGTCATGTGGTACTCCATCGTTCCCAGTGCGCCATTTATTTAGAGCAGGTCATCAGGAGGGCGTCGGCACGTTAGGATATGTGCTTACAACCACCGCGGCTAAGAACAACCATCAGAAAGCCCTGAGTTTGCAGGGGGCATTTCTGAACGTCCTTGGCTCTGATCAGAGGCAGGGTCAGGTACGCCCGTAAGGCAGGGGCAGAATAATGTAGCACCATGCACCATAAGTGCCACACAGCGCGTATGATGTGTTTGTCACAAACTGTGAGTCTGTGACAAACAGTGTTCTACGTTATTCTCACACTCGCTAAACTTCGAAGAAGGTTGTCGCCTTCCGTTGTTGAGTGCTGCTCGTGTTGAGGTACGAAGTGCATGTCGGTGTAGCTCAAAAATATATAATGCTATCAGCTTAGTTTGCCCTTATCAGTTTAGTGCAAACGGCTCGCAGGAATACCTTCGCACATACGGTTCGTCGAACCAGCTTGCGTGAGTCTCGATAACTAAGTTGGTTGGAGAGCACGACTTCCAATGCACCCACCTGTGGCGCGGTGGGTTCGGGTCGTTTTAGGCGCTCGCTATTTGCATTTGGCAGGCATGGCATGCGGCCGGTGACAGATTTCGCGCAAAAATACAGATGACGTCAGAGGGAAGGACGGATCGTGCTGAGCAGTGCGGCGCGTTAAACTTTCGTCATCCAGTTTTGTCGTTGAGCTCGAAGTGCACTATCGGATGACAAGGGTCCGGACTCACACTATAACCACTGCTTAGCGTAAGCTCTGATCCAAGAAATTCATTCGTCCAAAACGTTGGGATTAAATTTTCATTAAGATAATTATTTTAGGCTACCACCTCGTGCTTTTAATCGGAACATTTTGACCCCAATTGACCGGGCAAGCTTTAATGCATCATCAGACGCATTGATATGGCTACGCCGTGTGATCGTGATTACCCTTTGTCCTGCCGCCAACGATATTTGCCGGGTCAAACAATCAGCCGCCTCAGGAACGTAACACAAGTGCTTACCACGTGCTGGGGTGAAGGGTCTGAACAACTCGGACACGATTGTAGAAGCCGGAATAAATAAAAAATACGAGTAGCATGCACCCAGGTGATCGATTACCAAGGCGCACGCTTCAAATGACTAAAAACACATCGTCGGCTCCTGAGAAGTTAATGCGACCGGTACTTCCTATTTGGCGATAGCTCGATGAACAGTGATGATCATTTAGTTCAACATCGAACATGCAATGACAATACAAAGCGTTCTCTGCACGGTCTAGCAAGCCACTTCACTGCGCTTCATAAAATTACGCACACACACACACACACACACACACACACACACACACACACACACACACACACACACACACACACACACACACACACATATATATATATATATATATATATATATATATATATATATATATATATATATATATATATCCGTCAGGGAAATGTACTGTTCATAGCGATTACAGAAGGTGATCGCCGCCTGAAAGGCATTTCAAATAACGACTAAAATTTTGGTCAGATTGCATTTTGCTGACAGCAATTCGACAGAAGTTGCTCGAAATATGTTACTTTATTTAACGTAGGCTATTTTTCCAAAACCACCGGATTACCCTTGTCGCCTAGGACCTCGTGACATACAGACATGCATGCGTCTTAAGACGTATAAAGGGAGCAATTTGTTGTAAGAAAGTGCGTAACTTCATCCCACATA